CCGCTACATTTGATGGAGCCCTACTTTCCCGGAGATAGCTGAGCACCTGCCTGCCCAAATGAAGTGGCTTTGCTTTGCTTGTGAACATAGCTTTTTTCTTACTTATCAAAATATCTTTGTGTCAGCCCATGAACTTTCTTACTTTTATCTTCCCAATTCACTTCCCCATTCCATTGAGAGGGGAGTGAGGAAGCCGCTGCCTGGAGCTTCTTTGCCGGCTGGGGTGAAACAATGACAACCACAAAATCCATCAAAGAACCACAGCCATGAGAAATAGGCTACACTTTTTCACAAGATATGATCCAAAGCATTTTAATTTCAATGGATTCTTGTAGAAATACTGTGAAACCTTATATTTTTTAACAATTAGAGGAAATTAATACCCCTATATACCACAGCAGAAAATATATCACTGCTGTTTGCTATTATATAATCAGATTTAGGCAAAAGGGTTTCCTGTAAAAAAAAAAAAAACCTACATGACCAATATTCTGTCTTTGTTCAGTAACTCTTTCCCTGTAAGTCTATTCCCTTCCTTGTATTCCTTACATTTTACAGCCTTGAAGTGTGTCAGGGTTGTTGTGGCTTTGTTGTTGTTTTTGTTGTTGTTTTTAATCTGTATATGAATTACTGTTATTTTTATTATCACTTGTTTCATTATTGTAAGTATTTTAAGGCAGCCAGCTCTATACTCCAGTGGCATGTGTGTGGTAAAATCCTGAAATCAACAAGACTCCACAGAGAAGTACCACAGTTGCCTCAAAGGATAACAGTACAATTTTAGATGTTATGAAAGCAAAAGTAACAGACACACTGGAATGGGCAAGCATTTCTTTAAGAGTATGTGATTATACCCAAAGAATAACACTGTCTGATTCAATCAAATTTTTTTTTCTTAAATATGAAACAAATTCTTCTGTGCTGCTTCCAAGAAACAACATGCATTATCAGAAAGGAATGCTGTGAAAGGTGTTAGTTCAAAAAATGAAGAATGGAAGTGCTTTCTGTATTTGTCTACAAATAATATACTTGAAATCCAGAATGCAATTTTTTACAGGAAATGAGAAAATAAAATTCTCCTCTACTTTGAGTTATATTTCAACTCATTTCATTGAACTTTAACTGTGGTGGTCATGTGGTCTTTACTTGTACTTTCAACAATGTCTAAAAGTATCAGTTAAAAAAACTAATTGTGTCATGTGGCTTTGTTGATTTCTCATAATTCAAGAAAAGTAGTACACAATTTTTTTCTTACACGTTGGACAACACTGAACAGCCCTCTCAAACAATCTTGATCCTCTCTGGTTTTTTACTGTAGTTGTTTTCCTCAGCTTCCTGTTACTAGGCACTGATGACTTAAATCCTCCAGAGAAATTAAACTATTTCAAGTAGCTTGAGTGCCACTTTTTTGAATCAGGATTTGTGTGATAAATCCAGGCCAAGGAAGAAATTTTTTTCACTTTAACAATGTTACTCACTAAGAACAGCTGGTCCTTTACTACATACTCATTCAGCAGGGAATACAGCAGTTGTATGTTTATCTGATCTCTTTCTGACATATTCCCTTGGCTAAAGAAGCTTATTAAATGACAGTGAACCAAATATGCTGTCTGATGTCTCTGTTCTCAAATGGTCTTAGTCCACTAGGGACAAGCATTCTCTAGCAGCTGCATCTGCAACTCCTACTCACAACATGAACACAGGGCACTTGCCACTTCCATTCCTAACTCCCGTTTAGGAGTCAACACTGCTGTTTCTTAGGCTGTAATTTCAAAATAAGGTTAGATATTACAGCATTTCAAAATTAATTTTCAAATTCTTTCATAATTTTCCAAATTCATACTGGGTTCTTTGTAGCACCTACATTTTTATGTTCCTTTTCACAGACTGCTGAGTTTGGGGATTTTGAGCAAGAGTCCTCTTGGTGTCAGCTCACATATTTCCATGGGCAAAAACATTAACGCAGTTAAATTTTGTGTGCATTGTGCCACTCAAAGGAAGAGCCCTGTCAATCCCAGATCAGGTCCTAAGCTGCAATAGGAAGAGCACTGCCAGCTGGTCAAGGCCGGTCCTCCTTCCCCTTCATTCAGCCCCTCTGAGACTCATCTGCATTGCTGTGTTCAGTTCTGGACTCCTCAGTACAAGCAAGACATAAATGTACTGAAATTGCCTCCGTGCAGGTCATCATGAAGAGGACTAAAGGACTGAAGCACTTCTCCTACAAGGACAGGTTGAGAGAGCTGGAACTATACCACCTGGAGATCAGAAGGCTCGTGGAAGTTCTTAACATTAATATGAATACCTGAGGGAGGAAGACAGTAAAGAATATGGAGCCACACTCTTCTCAGTGGAGTTCAAAGGAAAGACAAGAAGCAATGGACACAATGAGGATTTTCACTATGTTCTCAGTGAAGAATGTTTCCCTAGTACCCAGTGTGAACCTCCAAACTGCCATTTGTTATCCCTGACTGTTTTTACACTCACTGGCACTACCAACAAGAGTTGGGCTTCCTCACCTTTGTACCTTCCCTTCAAGTATGGAGAGTTGCTGCTATATCATCCCTTAGTCTGTTCTTCATCAGACAAAACAAACCCAGTTTCCCCACATCTCTCCCCAGGGAGCATGAGCTGTGAGCCCTTCACCACCTTGGTAAGCCTCTAGTGAACCCTTCAAGTGCCATCCTGGAAACTCAGTCACCACTTAAGCATTTCAACCTGACTGAACCCAGCCCATTTGCACTTGGTTAAATTACAGGGAATGGTTTCCATCTTTCCACACCAGCTCCCCCTCTGTAGCACCATTTCTGAGTCACCCAAGGGCATGCTGTAGTCATCTTGCTGACACTTATAGTTACACTCAGCTTACTCAACAAGTTCCGAGCAAGACTGTTAGTGTGATTATATGTAGGTCTGTGTGTTACTGGAACACTGCACCACTTTTCCAGCCATTTGGCAAGCTGTTCTCAGAACTCCTAGTCTTAAGAGCAGCTAGAGAAGCAAATTGTCCTGACCACAGACTTCCCCATGTAAAAATTCTGATTAATCTGTTATCAAGATTAAAGAACTGTCTGAAAATCTTGTCAATTATGCAATATTTCTTTCCTCCAGAAAACGTAATCAAGCATTCCCTCATGTTCTTGGTCAACATCACACACAGACTTTGATCAAAATACAGATGGAATAAAACACAGATGGACTAAGAGTCACCAGAGTATTTTTGTTCTCTGGAAAAAAAACTCTGACACACTTCAGCAACCACAAAAGTATTATTCTTTCTCCCCAGATCGTACATGAGTTGAATCATATTGACACTATTCTAAATCCCTGGAGCTAGCCAAACCTGCACAACTTTACATTCTGGTTAGTGACATCATGCCCATTCTGCATGTGCCAAGAGAAATTTTCTCATTTTGAATCAACTCCTGATTCCTGTGGTGTTTCCTACCTTCAGTCTCAGACTTCTTACAAAGCACGTCTCATAAATACCAGTTCAAAGCTGTGAGCATGCACTGCTATCATCTAGGCATAATGGTTTACAGAACTGCCACACAGCTTGCTTTCCAGTAACCATTCCAATATAAGTAGTACTTTGAGTGACGTGGAAGTCATGCCTTAGGGTAGGCATGAAAGGAAAGATTTCACTGGCATTTGAATCTATTTCCACTTTGTCAACACCCATGTAAAATCAGCTTTCCAACTGTATTCACAGATAGGCACCTAATAGTACTCAGGATGCAGACTAGAGAGGGGATTGCTTGTCCAGACACCTAAAAGCATCTGTGCAGAACAGCTTACCAGGTACTTGTTTAATAGCCAGGTTCACACTCTGGCTGGCTTTTCATCTTATCTTCTGAGAATGCGTGTGCAGGAGCTGAGCTCTTGTGTGTTTTATGAAAAGTCTAAGGCTAGCTTAAGGATATTCTATCCTTAAGATAATATATTCTATCCTTAAGACAAGCTATCCTGAGATTGCTGCTGCAATCTCTCAGCATCTTCAGCTATCTTTTATAAATGTAGTTTCCACAACACTAGCTTACACCAGGGCTTCTGAGAAGTGTTTTGCCAAGGAGTTCCCTAGGAACATGCTTTTGGCCCTCTGGACTGCAAAGTCTCCTTAGCCGGGGTTGGAACGGCCCGGCACACCTTGGCACAGGCAGCCTCGTCCCCTGCGCTCCCACCGCCAGGCGTCACCCTGCTGATGCGAACGGGGGAAAATCCCGAACCGACCGTGTAAAAAAATGAGCAGGGAAGGAAATCAAACGGCACTTGCACAAAGTGAGAGTATACCCAAGTTAGCATCCCTTGCAAAAAAAGTAACTAAAGGGAAACATGTGGGAAATAGCCTTTATTCAAAGCACAGAAAGATATGCTAATGAAGGTAACTAAATTTTTTTTAAGTTAAGCTTTTAACACAGGAGATACAATTATTCTGTCTTCTATTCCTTCTAAGGCAATCTCCTCTTTTCTTCCAGATGTAGCATTCAGCTGGAGTCTACGTTCATTTAACATCTACTGAAAAGGAGAAAAAAAAAAATCTACTCCCCTTCCAAGATACAATGACATGGAACTTGGCATCATGTATGTGAAGACATCCTGAGAAGGATACAATGAGCTCTGCAGGAAAACATGTCTGACACAAACTGGCCACGAGTTCTTCAAAGTCAGGGAGTCACTACACGTCAAAATATGCACTAAAACAGAGATTTCATAAGATAATGATAGTTCACATTACTGCATGACTAAAATTTCAGGAGACAGCTGCCTTTTCAAAATCGCTAGCACAGGTTAAAAACCAACAAACAAACAACAACAACAACAGCAACAACAAAAAACTTACGGATCATGGTACTTTAGGGGAAAAAAATTAAAGTGAGGACTGCTCGTATGCGAAGCAGGGATTAACAGGGCATTTTGTCAGGTTTAGGAGAGTGACCCGTTTGGAGGAACGGGCAGGGAAGAGAGAACGGAACGCAAGGAGAGCACAAGGGTTCCCGCGATCCGAAGGGCCTCGGGGCGTGCTGTGACCCCCAGCGCACCCCTCACAAGCGGCGGGGCTGCCTGCAGAGGTCCGGCTGGGGGAGGCCAGCGGCGCCGTGGGGGGGAAACGCATCTCGGCACCTTCACCTTCTCCTCTCCTCCTCCCTGCGGCGGGGCGGGGAGGGAGCAGGTGAATGCGCCCTTTGTCCGGCCGAGGGCCCAGCAGACCCACGGCCGGGCGCTCTTTGGGCCGGCCGGTGACGGAGGGGAGTCCCCTCCGGGAGGCCGCGCCGTCCCGCCGCCCTCCGCTGCTCGGACGGGGCACGGCACCGCGGCTCGCACCCGCCGGGCGGAGGGCACCAGGATGGGCGCGGAAGGCGGGGCCGGCAGGGGAGGTGGAGGCTGCGGCCGGTCTCCCCCGCCTCTCATCTTCTCAGAGTCCGGCAGGCGCTCCCCTGTTGACTCGAGGCCGCCTTCCCCTCCGAGCGGCGCTGCCGGGCGCTGCCCCCCGCGGACGGAGCCGAGCCGGGGCCGCCGCTGCTGCCGCCCCCCGCGGCGGGACCTGCGGCGGGAAGGAGAGGCCGGGCTGCCGGGCCGAGGTGAGTGAGCCCGGCTCGGACAGGGGCCGGTCGTGCCCGGAGCCGCCGGGAGGTGTCCGCGTGCGCCCGCCCGGCCGGGCTGAGGCGCGTTCGCCGGGCCGGGCCGGGAAGGGAACCCGCGGCGGGCTCGGGCTCCCTGTGGCAGCGTGCCCCGGGCTCGTTCTGGCCGAGGAGGAACGCCGAGCGACGCTCTCCTGCTCCCACCCTCTGGGCTTTCATTCAGTTTTCCACCGAGCTCAGCAGAATTTTTGAAGAGCGGGGAAAGTTAAGAGCTCGCGTGCCGAGTGCCTACAGCGTCCTGCACGGTGCAGCGGGCACTTGGAAAGCGAGACGCTTATGCCCAGCAGTTTCGTTCTGTAATTTTCCGATAGTGCCGAGGGAGAGGTGCAGGCACTATCCCGCACCTCTTCCATCACCTCCTTGTTGTTATCATAGCCTGTTTATTTTGCCCATTTTTTCTTTTTTCGTGGAACCAGCCCTAAAACCCCTTACTCGGGAAAACTTCCCAGTGACTTGCGATGCTGTTTTCCTGGGATAATGTCTGCACAGTGTGGATCCCTGATGGTTCAGCGTTACAGTGAGCATGCTGTCTCGGTATTTATAAATTCAGTACCTCACTCACAGCGCTGGAAACTTGGCTTTCTGCAGCAGGACGCCCTGCACCCTCGTTGACAGCTGCGTCCCAGAGCAGAAGGGATGTGCACTGAGGATGGATGTTAATATAACTGTTTCCTTTCATAGCAGTTCTGAGTTAGATGACTAACTCCGTCTCGTGTCGGACTCCTAATTTTTCTTCAGGTGTATTTCAAAAAGACTTATAGATGACTTAAAAGACGTACAGATGACTTCTTTCTGGCAATTTGTAAAAGGCATTGAGTAGTGAATTGTAGGTGCTCTTCTTTTAGAGTTTTCAAAAGTTATTACCGGAAAATAATTTTGTGTTAACTGATGTCAGAAGCCAAGTGGAATATGATACTATGACACTTGAATTTCCTTACATGCAGTCATATGGCTGAAACCCATAGTTCCCTGGGTGAACACATGCATCCATTTGCACGCACTTTCTTTTTTCTTTTGGTCTTGTTTTCTGCTGCATAAACCTTTAACACTGTATTTAACATTGTATTAAACATTGTATCCCAAAAGAGCCAATAAACCTTTTAGGATTAACCATTTAGGATAATCCTAAACCTTTTAGGATTAGCAGCTAGCATTCTAGCTCATGGGTTGCTTTTGTTCACATCACGGCATCATTTATTACATCCTCGTGAATATAAACATTTAACTGGAACTAATCATGGACTCTTTGTTTCTAAATTTTCTGAATGAAGAGTGATAGGAGCATGAGAACTAGGTGAATCAAGCTTTTCCATACAGAGCTTCCCAAACTAAATTATGCTTTTGGACCTCTAAGACAGTGTGGTAGCCAGAAGGTAGGCCTCAAAAACGGTGACTGCCCTTCATATTATGAGTTCCATAAAAATAGGTGTGGAGTTCACTGTATTTGTTATTAGGTTTTTTACAGGTAAGTTCACCCTACTAAGTTCTATTTGTAAACTATTCTTTGAACAGCTGGAAATTATATACATTGAAACATGTAGAAGTAGAAATTCTAAAATCTGAAGCTTTGTGAAGATACACAATACCCCAAGATTTTTGATAAAATCACCAGGACTAGCCTTAGGAATAGGGGGAAAAAACAGAAGTGTGCCTTCATGAGTCCATGCTTTCTTGTGTGCAGGATGTGTTACAAAGGATAACTTTTTTCCTACACCATTAGCTGGTGTAGGAATGGCTTAACAGCCTGACCTTCAGACAGAACTCTTATTGACCATCCTCTGCAGCACTTGTCTGAAAGGTTATGCTCAAAGGGAGAGCTGACTACCAGGAGGGAAAAATCCAAAGAGAAATACTAAGGAAAAGAGCACTTCCAAAAAGAATACTTCAGCTTCAGGTGCCTGGTGGCCTGGCAGAGAGCAAACCCTCGTAGCAGACAGTAAAAGAGTGTAAGACTCATCCACTGAAGGAACCAGACACAATAAAAGAAGGAAAATTGTCAAAGTCTGATTTCTCCATATAACCTCCCAAAAGATTTATGGATATAAAAGAATAAGTAGTTAGAAAAAACAGTTTAATATCTAGTAATTCAGCTGTTCAGTAGGAAAGTATATGGAAGAGCCACCTAGTAATTTTCTTAAAGGTTGTCACAGAAAGTCGCCCTGTGGTATGGCACTGGGAGCTTCCAGTAGCACGGTGCCAGGGCCTCTCCTCCTGCAGTGTGCAACAGTGTGACACACATCTGGAAAGTCCTTGTTGCAAGGTCCTGGCAGGCCCTGTAGTTATTTTATGCTCTTCAAAATACTCTTTCCTGTTATCCTAGGATTTTCAGAAATATCTCTTTCAGTTTATTAATTCTCTTCCTTTTTTCTTCTTTTTCTGCCATCTGATTTTTTGTCATTTATAATAGCTTAGAGCCATTTCTGCTGCTACTTGTGGTGATGACTACTGCCAAAATACCTGGGAACAGCATGAGCAAAGCTGCTGTTTCTTAACAATCTTGAAGGGAGAATACACCTCTAAAGCCCCAGAGTGACTGTCAGGTAGACCAATCCTAAACCCTAAAACATATTAGGAACCACATCTCCATGGGCTTCTTGCATCAGACAGTCTCATGACTTTAAAACCCATCCAACATTTTGCATGTTTTTTTATGCAAGCTGTTTCAAACTGATTTGTTGTCATTTAAAAACTTGAATTAATGCATTAATTCCGCTGGTGACAGGGATATTAGGCTTCAATATTATTTTTTGTTAGTAATTTTGTTCTGTTGATTTATGCTCTCTTGTTCTCTGCTTTACCCAGAAAATAAGCTGAGCTTTTTCCATTTTCATAGGAGAGACTTTCCTTTCCCTAGTTGACTGTGCCTTTTCCAGCAAATGTGTGGAGGACAAGGAAGAAAACACTTTGAGGGAAAATAGGCCTCAAAGTTCCAGTATGGCATTTCAAAACCTGTTTTACATCCTGTATTTGTTTTGCAGGGAGTTTCCACAATGGAGAAGAGGGAAGGTGGTAATCATGCCATTGATCAGAATGCAGGTCAGAACATCATGCCAAGAAGAAATACAGGAAATCTTAACCACTTGGTAATGTTTCTGTAAAAAAGCAGCTCATATGTCACATAGAATATTGCAATCCTTGATTCACTTTTGTCCAGAGACAGTGTTACAATCACATTGGCATATCATAAATATTTCTGAAATGTTGTCACAGTATTGACATGAAGAGATAAAAAGATAGAGAACATCTCATTCAATTTAATCACAGTCCATGATAAAAAATAAACAAAGCTTGAGGCAGCTAAAAACTACATGAGGGTAGCTGCTAATTGTGTCTTACCAGATGAGCAAAACTCCATAGAAATAATTCGGGATTTTTACACAGGAATATAAAATTTATCTTTGGGGGAATCTTCATGATAGCAACATTGCACTCAGGAAGTTTTCCACATCACAGAAAAAAAGGTCCAGAAAAAAAATCCTTTAATCTTTTCTTGTGCATGGTGTTTGGGCTACATCATTAAGTCCATAGCTGAAATTTGACATTTGAAATCTATAACTTATATAATAAGAAGCTGAAATGATGCTTCACATAATGTAGTCCCTTCCTTGCAGTATAGTTATCTTCCTGAAATGAAAATCTATTTTAAAATCACTGCAGATAATGAAGAATGGGAAATCTACACTACAAGTGCTTTACTTAAATGCTGACTATTCTGTTTGAAATACTATGTTTCCAAGTTACCTTGTCTTTAACAGTGCATATGTTTTGTATATGGTTCCACTGCAGTAAGTTGTAAAAGTCATGATGGCAAATACTGTCATTACAGAAGTTTCTAATCTTCTCTTGAACTCGCTTTGTATTTCCATTCTGTCCCTTCCAGAATGTGGATATGCAGGTTGCCAGTCCATCAGAAGCAGCTGCACTTTTTGATTTACATCAAGCACACCATTTTGGTGAGTTTGAACACTCTTCAGAACAGCACTGCAAGCAGGATCTGTTCCCTAAGTGGCACTTGCCAATGAAGATAGCATCTGTGATCTCATTATTAACATTTATTTACACTTCCATGAGAGATGTCATATATCCTTTTGTAACCAAAAAGGAAAACGTTTTCTATAAAATTCCAATCCTTGTCATAAACAAAGTTTTACCAGTGACTTCAATTACCCTTTTAGCACTAGTGTATTTACCAGGAATATTAGCTGCTAGTTTCCAGCTGTACTTTGGCACCAAGTATAAAAGGTTTCCCCAATGGCTGGATAGATGGATGGTATCAAGGAAACAATTTGGACTTCTCAGTTTCTTCTTCGCTACGCTGCACGCCTGCTATAGCCTGTGCTATCCAATGAGAAGATCTTACAGATACAAGCTGCTGAACTGGGCATTCCAGCAGGTACGATGGGCACACGAACATCAGCCCTTCTGTATTCAGAGAATCCTTGCAAATCTGGATGGGGGAAAGACATTGTCATTGCCTTTGTTTGATTTTCAAGTACATTCACAGAGAGCACTGTTCAGGGATGGAACAGGACCTAGTTGCCAAAGCATGTAATGGAGTCAAAAGTCATCACAGCTGTGCCAATGTATATTGTATATATAAGTCATTTTCTTAATTTGGGATTTTTTTCCATCTGTAAAATGCACAAGATTGTATCTTACAGGAACATTTAAGTCTTTGGCACACTGTTAGTGTAGATTTCTTCTCTGGACCAGAAAAAACTGAGCACTGAACACAACATTTTTAGACACCTTTGCAGCAGTGAAGGAGGGCTGAGCTAAATCACAGTAATCTGTATTTGCACAAACTAAATTTGTGGGTACTGATGGCTCACATTTGGACTAATACACACTACCTTGTTTAAAGATAGGATTTCAGTGATGCTTCTGACTCATGGTCAGTAATTGGCTTGCAAAGCTCTCCAATGTCCTCTGTAACCAGAGAATTCCAAATGGTCACCTATTTCCTTGGGTTCCATAAGTAATGCAGTATTAGGAGTATTCCAATATAAGGTACACACTGCAAATATATGTTTTTATTACCCCTAAAGTCTTTATTATTAAAAACTATTAAAAGCACAATATGATGATGTCAGTAGATTGTTAAGGTTTTTGTAAACAGTCAAAAGACCGGTTGAAAACTCTGAAATCAGCCTTACTGGTAATCTGACTTGAATGGATTACTAGAAATTTCCTTGAGATTTCAGTTTTCAAGATGCAGAAATTATCATATTTGGGGCATATTATGCCATGGTGATCAGTAGCAGGATCAAAGTGGTGTTTTAAGTAGTTGTAAGTAAGAGAAGCTTTGACATCAGTTTATTAAAATCACAAATGTTCCAATTTGTGTTTTTTAAAAATAATAGAGCTAAACAACTACCATGGCAGGATATTTTTATTAAGAAGGCCTGCTGAATTACCTCCCTGAAGGAGAGCTGTTAATATATTTCCTGTTGTTAGTCTCCCTGATATGGTATTTAGCCATAGGTGGGTTTTTTCCTTGTCAAAACCAAGATTATCCTTGCTGTGAAGGCAGTTTAAGAGGCCTCAAAATCAGGTTCTCCTGGGCCAAGACACTGATGAAGTCTAAATGCTTCTCTATAAAAGCTCACCTTTGCTCTGGAGATACTAGTGAAGGCTTTGTCATCAGAAGTAAACAGCAGTTATATTCAAAGACATTCAAACAAACCAAAATACTGTTTTTCTTTGCTTATTTCATTAATATTATGGTGAAAACAGTAAAATTGTATTTAACACAAACAGCCAAGTGTGCCAGTCTGTAATTTTTATGGTGTTCTTTTGGCAGGTCAAACAAAAAAAAGAAAATGCCTGGATTGAACATGATGTTTGGAGAATGGAGATTTATGTGTCTCTAGGAATTCTGGGACTTGCTTTGCTAGCCCTGTTGGCAATAACATCAATTCCATCTGTCAGTCTCTCTTTGACCTGGAGAGAGTTCCACTACATTCAGGTGTGCATGAATATCATTACTGTATGTTGTTAGTCCCATTTGTAGAACTGTGTGTTATCAGTTAAGGCTATTAGGAGTTAGAAATATCAAACACAAAGTCAGTGAAACCAATGGAAAAGTTTGTTCCGTACTCTTTGTTAATTGGTTTGTGAGAAATGTTCTTTCCATTACTCGTTTGTTGGGAGAACAGGCCATTGTGTTCAGAGTATAAAATGGAAACAAAAGACAAGTCCATACCACTTTTTTCTTCTCCTCCTGACTTTGTGACCAGCAGCAGTTGTCCCTTTGAGACCTTTTCTTAGCTCTGGTGCTGAAGTAATTTTCTAGGTATCTTATCTCTCTGGAACATCCCATGTCCTGCTGAATTTGGAGTAGGTGGCATTGAACCAGTCAATGCTGTTCCCATATGACACAGTGTATTCTGAAAGAGACATCTTAGAACAGATGCTAGATAATCAAATCCAGCCAGTCTTGAGTTTGCTACAGCTGTGCTTGTTTCCTTAACCCAGGCATCTGGGTTGCTCTCGATTCTCTTATGTCATATGCAGTAATAATCAGGGTGGTTCTGCTGACATCAGTATGGTCACACCACACTTAAGCAAGTGTTGGATCAGGCCCTCAAACACCAAAATCTGAAAATTCAATAATCTACTAAGGACCTGGAATTTGAAAATTTGGTGTATATTTTAAAAGCAGATCTGAAGTGTATAATCACCAATTACTGATTTGATATTCTGTACACTCTTTGAAGTCTATAATTAGTCTATAAGTAAGATAAGTGTACAGAGAATAGGGAAGAGTCAGGAGGAAGTCTCCAAAAGTATGACTGCTTTCACTATTGAAAGACTATGGTGAAGAAACCCAGATGAGTAATACTTCTGTGTTGGACTTACTTTATAAACAAATAACTTTATTACTTAAAAATCATGTTCTGTAGCAGAACAGCAGTCGGAAGCTGTAGCATTCAGCAGTTGGAAATACAGTGTTTGACTTCACTGATAAGTACAAGATTATTAAGTGACAAAAAACTTAAAATTACTAGTAAATTTTCTTCACTTCTGAATTTTGTAAACAAGCTAAGCCAAATTTAGCACTGTAAGTGAAATGAAAGACTTGAGTTTCCTGTAGTTTTGCCGGGCTTTTGCCATAGTACTAGACTTACTCGAGTTTGTGATTTTAATTTAGCTTAAAATTTTTCCTTGCAAGTATTCAATTAATCCTTTAATATGTCTGGTTTTGAACACATAATGATTTATCACAGAATTAAAGTAATTTAGTATACAAAGGTAAATTCAGGATTGAGCATGTTTCAGGAATAACCTGCAATCTCTTCTGTATTTTAGCTAAGTATCAGAGCAATACATGAAAAATGTTCCTCCTCCATTTTCTTTATGTTGGCATAAAGAAGTCTTGACAGTTGGAGTCTTGACTTATAGTTGTTACCTTTTAGTTTAAAGCCAACGGTTGCTTTTCTTTGACTTGAGCATGTTGGTCAAGGCCCATCCAGATTTCTGTATTTGCTTAACAGAGTACTTTTTTTGCCAAGTTGGGAAAATAAATAGCTTGCTATTTTCTTTCTCTTTTCAGAGCAAGATGGGATATTTAGCCCTGCTGCTATGCACTGTTCATGCACTGGTGTTTGCTTGGAATAAGTGGGTTGATGCTAACCAATTCATCTGGTATACACCCCCTTCATTTATGGTTGCAGTTTTTCTTCCTATTGTAGTTCTGCTTTGTAAATGCATACTGCTCCTCCCATGTTTTAGGAAGAGGATAAGAAAAATCAGAAGTGGTTGGGAAGCTAAGACACATGCCAATCAAACCAGCATAACTTCCAGACTGTAGATCAAATATGGACATTTCCTGTCTATGTATCTAAATATGCTCAAAGCCATGAAATGTTCACTCATGAGCTCTGTTTTCACATTTTCTTTCTTTCAAATGTTTCTTACTCACTTTTTTTTTTTACTGCAGGAGTATGAGATACTTGATGCAATTTTGTTGTTCTCAAAGACAGAAAATGAAAACATCTATTTTACACTTTAATCTATTCAGTGCTTTGGTATTTGATGATTTCTTTCTTCTGATTCATTGCTTTTAAAATCCAAGTGTTTCATTGTCTCAATCCCAGTTCTTTTGTATGCAAAAACAAACATAAATTATTTCTCCAGATGACCACAGAAAGTAAAAAAATTATTACACCACAGAGCCCAGGAATGCTTTCTGCTTCGCACAGCCATGTGTGTACCTTTATTAAATCTCAGAATTATAATGGGACAAAAACCAGAGTATTTATCGTCCCATTGCCTCTTAGCACCCGCAGCCTGTGTTTCACTCTGCAGAGTGGGGACCTTGGCATATGAGCCAGACAGAAACTGTGTATTCCTGCCAGGTCTTGAACGTACACAACTGAGCAAGCAGAATTACAGGGATCTTTACAAGGTAAATATCCTGAGACTTGGGCACAGTCTAAAAAAAGAGTTTTTAGACTCAGATTTCCATCTTGTCCAGGACTAGGTGTGTCTCTGTTTACTTGAAACGATAAAACATTTCCCATTTTTTATTCCATGAACACATTCTTTTGTTTCTGATGCTGGAAATTTTCCATGCTTTTGACCTAAGCCTGCAGCCCTTGACATGTGCTAAACTTTATTTGCACAAATTATTCCAGTGGGATAACTCCATCAGGTAAATGTGTTTTTTTGTTTACTCTAGGGCCAGCACAATTGTGTGACTGGAAGAAAAACATTAAAAATAGACATTTGAATCTTGCCAATGATTTGGTGAGATTTTCATGTTAAATGGTTTCCAAATGCATTTGCTTTTACAGAAATTTTCCTAATAACTTTAATAAGCTCATTAAATCGTACTTTCCTTACATTGCATAGGTCCATGAAAGTTTTAAATGAATTCATTTGTTAGTATCTGTTTTGAAATTATGTTATTCAGTAGTAAATATTTTCACCCAACATCAGGAACATTTCTGCCAGTCTGCCTGCAGAGTTGACTAGGACATGGACTGTTGATGCCACCTATTGCTGCAATCCTCTGAATGAGAACTGTAATTGGTAATGGCTCTGGTATTAAAACAAACAGGAAAACAACATATGCCTAAAAAAATGTAATACATGGTGCTAATAAATCTGTTTTCTCTTTCTGGACTTTTACATGGAGCATAAATAGCAGACAATTAAATAGCTACAGGGATATTACATTTTGTATTTTCCTGGTTGTTACCATTCAGTTATTGCAACTTAAAAGTTGGCCTTTTTTAAATTTGCACATAGTGTAATACTGTGAAAGTAACTGGGGACATGGTGACCTATATAATATAGATTTAAATCTGTGGCATTATGTATGAAACCAGTAATGCATGGCAGAGGCCAAAACCCTACAATACAGGAAGCTGGACTGCAATGTTAATCTAAGAAGTTTCTAACAGAGTAGGAAAAGTATGGTGCTCAATTCATTTGCATTTATATTTCCATGAATGAAATAAATATTTTATAAGTAATAAGCTCTATGCACTTGTTACAGAAGATAGTCCAAGATAGTATAACTTCATTCATTTCAACTAGTTAATATGGTTTGAATTTATAACATAAATTACAAGGGCAAACCAATGTCAAGATCATCACATACTACCCAAACTGACCTTTTGCGCTCATCATTCAACTGGGGACATTAAGCACACTTCAGACTTTTCTCTTTAGCATTGCCCAGAGGCCAACCCAGAAGTGTCTTCTATGACATGAAATTTACATACAGTCTACAAAAGCTATTCCAAAAATCACACATGACATCCAAACATTCAAGCATGCTTTTCCCTACTGATTGTTTCAAGTAGGAGCCAGGTTTTCTATGTCACATCTAGCCATTTCTCTAGAAACTACCACTGAATGCTTATAGCCAGAACTTGAGACTTCGTAGTGAGTCTCTTCTCTGCTTTCTAAGTCTTTAGTAAACTGTATCTTAGTAACTCACTTCCCAGTCTGCAGGCTGCTCAGAGAAGTGGTTGACTCACTATCCCTGAAGGTATTTAAAAGACACGTAGATGTGGTGCTTAGGGACATGTTCTCATGGTAGGCTTGGCAGTGTTAGATTTATGGCTGGACTCAATGTGAATTACTCTGATTTGCTTTTTAGGCATTCAGATACAGCAGTGAGGAAGACCTGTATAGGGCTAAGAAGAAAATGCTATTCACAGTATTTAATTTCTCAGTTTGTGGCAGACATGATTTAGTTCAATACTGATGAATCTAAGTTCATATGTACCTTTTAATTTATGTTTATGTACCTGTTTCAAATTCAGTGTATTAATAGGCCTATATACTGTTATAATACATTAATTGAATGTGTGTGTGCATTTTAGGCACTTATTTGTATAACACTAATTAGTTTTATAAAACTGTGCATCATTAAATGCTTCAATGTATGCTGTATCTGCCATTGTGTCATACACATCCAGTGTAAAAGGGTAAAAAGGCACAGTACACTCTAGAAGAGCTGCTGATATAAAGAGTCAAGGGGAATAATTTTCTCCATGCTAGTGAAGAGCCTGAAGCCTCCAAAGGAATGAAAACAAAGATGTGAAAAGCAAAATGGACACTTTCATAGTGTAATGAAATTGCATTTTTCCTGACAGTACCTTTAACTGTATATTCTAGCATTGAGAGATTTTTGAGAAGGAAGATAAAGCTTTGGAGGGACCCAAGATCCGTGGAAATACTGATCAAAGACCAAGAAAAGTTCAAGAATAGCAAGGGCATTGAGGAAAGGCATGTGTGGGCATACTTTTGTGTAAGAATCCATTGTTCTAGTGACAGTGGATTTAAAATGTGTCTATAAGGCCTGCAAAGTACTTTCTTCTATTGTTACGTGTCTCAAATGTATTTGAGAGACACAGAATTGAAACTCTGGAGATATAAATTATTAAAGGGGCATAAGGAATTTTGTGCCAAATTCATTTGGAGAGGTCCACATATCCAGAATACTCTTCCCAATAAGTGATAGCAACAATCATTGTTCAGGAAGCTAGAGCCAGGGCTGTGTTGGCTATTGTGTAATGCAAATTCCTGTTGACAGCAGCATTTACTGTAAGCAGTCCCTCCCTTTGGCCACTCTTCTCTGTTCTTTCAGTGCTTCAAGTTGTTGAAATTGTGTTCATCAGAGTAGGGCATTGGATCCAGTTGAAAAGTAATGCAGAGAGAAGAATGATTCAGCCAGATCCACTCATGGGTCCGCTTCACCTGACAGCCAGCATCCTACATATGTCAGTAGGAAAGACTCAAAGAGGAATGATGTGAACAGGCAGCTTAACTTAAACCAGCCCTAAATGAAAAGTTCCAAGTGCTCCTAAAATTTAAAACTTAAATTATTTCATCCTATTTAAGTAGCAAGAATATTCCCTTGCTTCACTTTTTTGTCATGTTCTTAGCTTTCCATGAATCAGTGGGCAAAAATGTGCCCTAGAAATTGTCACCAAAACCCGTATAAAACTGACTTACATCTACGTGACTGTGGGCTGTGTGGTTTCATTTGTAGAGATGATGATCTCACATCTCCCCTTTTCTCCTGTATCCAGAATTTCTATACCATCCTTTAACAACACAAAATGTTATGGTAACCATTTTTGAAATTTAAACTAATTTCTTTTAAACTGATTTTCTTTAAATGGCATTAAAGGAATAATTTAAAAAAAATAAAAAGACCAATTTTTGAAAACACTGAAACCACCCCCGAATAATGTAATCTGCTGTTGTTGCTGTAAGTGTCTGGCAATGACTATCATTGCCACTGATGTTTTTTCAGTAATGGCAGGATTTCTTGATCCCATGAGCATATTCTGTTGCTGATGGCAAAATTACTTCTTATTATTTCTTTTATTAAAACAAGTCTCATTAAATTCAGATGCCCCAGAGTTCAATTTTTCCATTATTCTTTGAACTTTTCTGTACATTAAATTTAACACTTGAATGGATGAAGTGAGGCTAATTTATTAAGTAGACATAATAAGTTTTCAGAGATTTTCAGCTGAAAATACATAAAACCAATCCATTAACTAAACTCTTTAAACATAAAAAAGACCACAGCTACTTCCAATAAAGATGATACAAAAGAAGTTTGAGTTGCTTTGTATTTTTTGTTTCTTTTTTATGTATATTTCATCTTCATAGCATGAAAGTACATTGCTGAGGTAAATATGCTATGACTTGGTTAAAGATGTGTAGTTACTGTGGGACTTGTAGAATACTACCATTGCTACCGATAGAAGTATTTGGTCCTTAAATTTCTTTTTTTGGGCTCACTACTAAAAAAGAAGCGAGGCAAATGTGGGGATTTTTTAACTGGATGGTCAAATTTGTAGTTTGCAGTCATGTGCAGTCTTTATATGCAGGCTTACAATTTATTGTTGAATGTACTCTACTGAAAAAGATTTTTCCACATTAATATCTCCATTACTTGGGATGCTGAGAAGTATCTTATTGCTGGACTCAAAGGAATGGCCATATAACCCACCTCTAATTATTTTTCTGCTTTATTTTTTACTGTGACTCATACATAAAACTGAATGGCACTTCTCTCTTGCCTGTACCTGTGCATGTACCAGAATATCTTCTGAACAGTGGATCTCATTCATTCAAAAATATTCTAACAGGAAATCCTTAAAAAGAAAATAAACAAGCTGGAACTGGAAAAAAAAAAAACAAGCCACTTTCAAAGCTCCTCAAGTATCTCTGCAACTTTAGTTTAGAAATCTAACAATTGTTAGATGTCACCCATCATTAAAATCGTAATTTCCCCCTTCTAATTTCCATAGACTTTGTTCATCTTTATTTATTCACATCATTTTTTTCACATCTTTATTTATTCCCTGATAATTAATGACAGACCAAAGTGTATTCTGGGACTGTATGAAGCTGTGCAAAGAGGCATCAACATGGAATCAGAAGGAACAGGACAATTGGCAATCTGTGGAAAAGAGCAAAGGAGACATTGAAAACACTCAGATTTTCTTATGAAAGAGTAAAGGAGCCCAGTGGATGTTAAAGGGTAAAAGTAAGTAGGTGGAGGATACTGAATGAGATCCATGAACTTCATCAAGTTAGGAGAGAATAGAAACCCTGTGGAAACAATTGCCATTTCTCTCTCCCTGACCAGGCTGGCATCCACAAAACCTCTAGTAAGAGAGATGGGTAAAATGGAGGACAACTGAATGACTGGTGGGACAGTCTGAAAACTCTGAAGTGAATCCTTGAAACGGAGGGAATGGGAGGGTTGGTTATCCACATGGAGCTGGCGAATGGAATGAATAAATACAAAGAGCCTGGGTTTGTGTAGAGTTTGACCTGCACAACCTATTAAGTTGAAAACTTTTCTCCAACCCTGAAATACCATTTGAGGCATTTCTGGAGAAATCTGTTCAAAATCTACTGATACAGATGAATACAAGTGAGGTTTTCAGTGGTTCAGTGACATACCGCTTCTGAAGTCTGGGGAAAGAGTCATAGATATTGCTCCACTTTTCATAATGATCTTTATATAAACTGAGTTGTTTTCAAATAACAGCAGACATTGCTGTTTTATTTCCTGGTAAAGCGTACATCATGTGCTAAACAAAGGAAAATTCTTATGTAAAAGACAATGAAACTAAAGCACTCTTAAACATTTCTTATGCAAAATAAGGAACCAACTGAAACCAGATTTAGATGGTGCATTACTCTGTATTCAGAAGATTCCTACAAACTTTAGTTTTAGCCTTGTGCTGATATCACTATTTCAAATATTAAATCATCACCATTTGGTTCTTGCAGAGACAAAATTTCCAGTGAAATAAATGGGACTTTTAGTTACTCAGAGCAAGATTTGTCCCCTAGAGTCACAGAAATACTTCATGTCTTCACTGTCTTGGATTTACCAATAACTTGTTCACCTCCTCCAATGTTTGGGATGGACTCTATCCTGCCAGGTACTTTCCATCAAGGCAGCCTTATCAAGGGAACAGCAATAAAATTTGTTACCATTTTTTATTATCAGCCTGGCCTGAAACATTCCATATCCCAACACAGCAGCTGAGCCATGCAATCTCACAAAGTTTTATTCAGTCCTGTTTAACATCCTTACTCAGTTATTCCTAAGCACCTCTGCCATGATTACAGAGAAGGGGCTTGGTGGCCTTGCCCAGTTGTTTATTCTGTACCACAAACATCATCCATTGCTGGGAGGTGGTTTCAGCAGGAAAAGCTGGGGAGCTGGAGCAGGGAGTGCACCTGGCTTGCCGCAGTGGAGGGGCTGTCACCATTAACCCTGCTGAACTGGTCCCTCTGCCACCCACCAGACTTCCCTTCCTGTTTTCTCCAGACCAAGACCATGGACCTGTGGTGCAGACAGGACAGCTGTGAGGTGCAAATGAGCCAGGGGGCCAAGCAACATGGAGTCAGAGCTATGGGAAGCCTCTGCCATCTTGGGGTTTGTGCCTGGTGGTGAATACTTTTTTTGTGGGTAAAACATCTTCTCTTTTGCATACTTTTGCTATTAATAACAATTGTTGGTTTTATTGTGTGTTTCTTATTTATTGTTTTGCTCTTTTAGTAAATTGCTATTTCAATCCATAGTCTGTGCTTTATTGTCCCTCCCTTACCAAAAGAGGCAGGAGAAAGGGAGTGGCGTATTTGGAGCATAGCTCCCTACTGGTGTCAAAACCAGCACAATGTCCCTGGAAACTCTTCCATATAATTGAGTTCTTACACCTTTCTGACATCAAGGTGCTAAAAACATAAGGGAAAATTGGTGGTGGGGAATGCCAATGGCAAGGAAGAGGAAATGAAGTACCTAGGGTAAGTAGGAATGAGATACACTAGAATGAGGTGAGGATGAGTGAATGAAGCAGGGGGAAACTGTGAACCTACAGAAAGTTTGGGAGATGGAAGTGGGGTATAATTTAAGTATAATTTAATACCCTATTCTATTCTATTCCAACCTTATCCTCCTTGATGCCACCCTTTTCCCACCTCTGATCCCTCCCTAAACATCCCACAGTAAGCCTTGCACATTCTTACAATCTCCCTAAAACAGCCAATAATAATTTTCAGATTTTTTTTTCCTTGCATATCAGGTCCCACATAGCTTTAAAAAACACCTCTTCAGTTCACATTACATTCATGGGAAACAGTTTCTTCGTTTGATGACCCTGGCAGGTTTCACTCCAGTGACAATGATCTGGTCATTCCCCATAGTCTTGTCAGTATGCAATTTGGCTTCATTTTCATTGATCAGCTTGCTGGGCTTTCTTTGCCTGTTACTGCTCCTCTGAGCCTCATTGGATCTTTGTTTTTGCCACAGTTAGGCTTTGATAATTTAACCCAGCAATACAGAGAAGTGTTTCTCGCATGAGCAGAGTGTGGAGCAGCTGCATGAAAGGAAGAGACTAAAAAGGTGGGAGCTCTTCAATGAGATGGGAGAAGGTGGAAGGGGATTAAATAAAGATTTACAAAATATTGAAGACAGTGGGCAAGATAAGCACAGAACTATTTTTAACCAAATATACCTTACCAGGAATAGAAGGGATTCTATAGAAATAGTAGGAAATCAGTTTACAGCTGATTAAGAATGTGCATCTTTTTGCAGAGAACAGATTCTGGACCTTGCTGCCACCGAGGGCTGTGGGGGCAAACGGAATCAGCAGGTTCAAAAGGAGGTTAGACAAACCCAGAAACAACAGACCCTAAAGCAACACCAAAAGGGCTTTGTAGGTATGTACCCTGTGACATCACTAGGGTAAATATGGATTTGGGAGGAGAGTACAAAATACAGTGGCCAAGATTGCATACTCTCCTTAAACAGCATTTTGTTTTGCTGCTCTTGAACATGTATTAGTGGGCTAGATAGGCTATTGGTCTGACCAAGTATGGTTTGTTATGTTCCCTTACATCAAGAGTAAATCTTTCAGACTAATACATTCCTGTAAGTTTCATGGCTGGAAAACAAATATGTTAGGAATGACAACTTAAATTTTAAAGAAAAAGCTATTGCCTTGATAGTGGAAAACTGCTTAACTCTTAGGATCTGTAGCAACTTGTTGATCTCAGTTCATATTTGTGGAATTTACTACATAATTCTTCACAGGACTGGGAACTCAATTAGTATTTAATTGCTCTATAAATATACAGATTTTCCTTTTACAGTGCTAAGTTGTACTGAATTATGGTTTCATTTTTGTTTGTCGGGGAATATTTTACACAGCCAGCATGATCCCATTCATGTTCAGAATCAATTAACTGAAGACCTAATATATGACCAGGTCATGCAATAATGATACTACATTAATATTAATTTTAGTATCAATTAGTCCATTAGTATTAAATATTTTTATGTTTTTCACCACCATAATGATACATAATATGCAGTGTAGTACCTCACCAGTACAGACTGAGGTCTGACATGTTGGAAAGCATCTCTGAGGAGAAGGACCTGGGGGTCCTGGTGGACAACAAGCTGTCCATGAGCCAGCAGTGCCCTTGTGGCCTTGCAGGCCAATGGTATCCTGAGGTGCATTAGGAAGGGAATTGCCAACAGGTCAAGGGAGGTGATCCTGCCCCTCTACTCAGCCCTGGTGAGGCCACATCTGGAGTGCTGTGTCCATTTTGAGATCATCAGTACAAGAGAGACCTGAAGGTCCTGGGGTGGATCCAGCAGAGAAGAACTAAGATGACTGTGGGAGAGGAGCATCTCCTTTACCAGGAAAGGCTGGGGGAACTGAGTCTCTTCAGCCTTGAGAAGAGAAACTGAGAGGGGACTACATCCATGACTGTCAGTATCTGAAGGGAGGGGGTCAAGAGGATGGACCAGGCTCTTCTCAGTGCTTCCAAGCAATAGGACAAGAGGCAACATGCAGAAACTGATGCACAGGAAGTTCCACCTGAATATGAGGAAGAACTTCTTTAGTGTACAGGTGACCAAGCACTGGAACAGATTGTCCAGAGAGGTTGTGGAGTCTCCC